TTTAATATGCTCCCTTATTCTTTTATATATTTTAATATGTACAAGCCAGAATATGCATGTTGTTTGAATTTTTACTGTGTTACACTGAACGACAATTTATTTTAAAACGAACATTATTTCAACCAAACTTTAACATTTTTTTCTCCAAAAACTTATTTGAAACCTTAAAAGTAGACACTTTACTTACATTTAATGTGCTTGGACATAAAATCACTTTTGTAAATTTATTTTGACGCGGACATCTTAAAGTCTTTGACCAAAATACATATACATTATTTTCCCACAATAAATACTGAAATAAAACATGATTTATTTAGATTATCAAAGACATATTGATCATCTTATATATTTTATAAATGTAATATTTAAAATGTAATTAACATTAAATATTAATTTAATATTTTAATTACAGCATTGCTTTATGCATTTCAGAATATTTTAATGACACTTTTTTATAGTTTAAGATTGAAAACCTGTCTGGACATAGATAGATAGATAGATAGATAGATAGATAGATAGATAGATAGATAGAAATAGTCAGATGATAGATAGCATAAAATCACTTTTGTAAATTTATTTTGACGCGGACATCTTAAAGTCTTTGACCAAAATACATATACATTATTTTCCCACAATAAATACTGAAATAAAACATGATTTATTTAGATTATCAAAGACATATTGATCATCTTATATATTTTATAAATGTAATATTTAAAATGTAATTAACATTAAATATTAATTTAATATTTTAATTACAGCATTGCTTTATGCATTTCAGAATATTTTAATGACACTTTTTTATAGTTTAAGATTGAAAACCTGTCTGGACATAGATAGATAGATAGATAGATAGATAGATAGATAGATAGATAGATAGATAGATAGACACCAGATTATCCATGTGTCCTTAGATTATGGTATTATAGGTGTCATTCAAGAATGTGAAAGTGTCACACACACTCTCTCTCTCTCTCTCTCTCACACACACACACACACACACACTTGCATTTGTGGTTTACGGGGACTCTCCATAGGCGTAATGGTTTTTATACTGTACAACAATGTTTTGTATGTTTTTTAAGCCTTTTGTTTTACAGGGACACAGGAAGTGTCCTCATAAACCATGTTTACGTTGTAGTACCCATGTCATTATACACATTTGTGTCTTGTGTCCTCATAAACCATATATACCAGTACACACACACACACACACACACACACACACACACACACATCAAAGAGCTGCTCTCACCCTCCCTCAGCACTGAGCTGATGACAGACAGAGACTCACTGCTGAAAGCATATACATATGTCTTCAATGATATCAGCACTGCATCTCACCGTATAAGACCCTTTCATATCTGTGCTCTACAGGAGCAGGAAAGTCTGTATATCTACAAAAATTCTGATGGTGTTTGATGCGTTGCATAACATTTGAGCTGCACTTCAATAATCTGACAGCAAAAAGTCCGACATATTTCTGTATAATAAGCGTCTTTGATGAGAAAGCATCTACATTAAAGCATAAATGTCAACATTTTGCAAGGCTCATTGAAGATTATGATTCAACAAGCCTTGTAAAAGTCAATCCTGTGATCGTCTTGTTTTTAGCAGTGTTTTCATAATGCTTGCAAAGCAGTCATTACAATAAAAAAACGCAGGTCATGACACGTTTAAAGTCAGGGATCTATCTATCCATCCATCTGTCCTCTGGTAAAAAGCATGGAATTAATGAACATTTGTTTTGTTTTCTCTTATGCTTAGGCTATTGGAACCAAAATCTGTTTGTCTAGTGTCAAAACCATTACAATTTGAGTCTTTATTATTCACTGCATTCTGACAGTTGGTAAATCCAACATTAGCAATCTTGTTCCTTGTTGATGTTTTTCAGCTATTTCTATCATTTTTGTCCTCAGCCCATCAGATTTGTACATTTTAGGTGTTTCTCTGGACTCGCTCCATTTCAGGTCATGGTGCTACTAGTAATGAGACCTAGAGCCAAACTGAAAAACTAATGAATGACAAATTCTGAGCTTAACCAGTCTGGGAGACCAGATGAGACCTACAAACCTAATCTGACTGATTTAAGATGCAGTTATGGAACTAAATCGCTCCCATTATAATCAACACCTCAGGCGACGGGTTGTAATGGGAGGTGATTTCATGTGCTGATTTATCATTCACGACCTAAAACCTTGTTTAAGTCAGTATAGTAGCTAAAAAATGTCAATTCATCATGTTAACGGTAACGCCATATATATTTTTTTGACCGGAATGAAAACGAGGTTGAGGGATTGAAGTACAGTGCATTCATGGATTGTAATGTTGTTTAACCCCTTACGAAAATTAACCGTGGTTTTGTTATAGTAACAGTGTAGCAACCATGTTTTTTGGCATATTGATTACCATTTGTATGACCACAGTTTTACTACAAATACCATGGTTAAGCTGTGGTTAGTGTAGCAACTAGTAACCTTTTTTTTTTGTAGTAAAACAATGGTTAATTTTCGGCAGTGACATACTTGTTTAGGTAACGAAACTGAAAGACTTCTACACAGTGCATTCCATTCTAAACTGTAAATCTCTCACACACAGCCTCGTTTTCATCTGTTGAGGTTCTAGATGGCGTCTAGCCTGAAATAGGAAAAAGGATTGTGGTGCCAATACGGAATGTAAAAGTCGTTCGTAGCGGATCGTTAAAAGGACATTTCATCCAAAAAGATTGGGACATAAGGAGTTAAAAATGACTCGTTTTAAATAACTATGTCCAGTACTGTTCTCGATTTTACAGAACGTATGCATTTACAAACTGAAATGACTTTACTGCCACCTGTTGGCTTCAAAACAAAAAATGCAGTGTGCTGACCTGCAAACTTGGAAGTTTTGAAATAGTCATGCCGTTTAGTCTCTCCACTCAGCAAACAATGGATTTTCGAAATTACCCATTTTAAAGACTCCCTGATAAATCAGGCCTAAATAGAAACTGAATCACCCAGCCGACAGACAAGCGCAGACAGTAGATAATCAATAAACAACACTGATGCCCATAACAGACCAGGGGCCCGTTTCATAAAACAAGTTTACCAAATAAGCCAGGATTTTTTAAGTTAGTCTTATTGCCAGTAGATTTGGTTCACAACAAATCAGACTAACTGAAATAAGCCTGGCTTATTTGGTAAACTTGTTTTATGAAACAGGCGCGAGACTCAAGTAGGTCAGGCCTTGCCCAGATCAACAGCATGATCGATTCTCATTCAGAAATATGTGCGATTCACAGACAGAACCTTTTCCTTCTTGCTGGCACAGATAGCGTTTTATTACAAAAAGAAAAAAGTCATTGCATGATCATTGTAGCATTACCAGGAATATGTTGCATTCCCATCACTCTTCAGGTAGAAAGGTTGACTTGTTTGGAGAGGATAACGGTTATAAAAGTTGGGCTGTACTGAATGCAGGCCCGTAGGTAAGAATCACTCTTACTAGCTACATGCAAATGGAGACCCATCTGTCCATTCACTCCAGATTTGAATTTCATCAAGAAGGGGGCGTGTAAGTAGCATACCATCTCTTTGAGAATAAATTAAGTTAAAAATGATACCAAAAAGTGTTTCTTTTTAAAAATCTTGCTTATGTTGAAAGGATAAAAGAAACATTTACAAATAACACGGGTGGCAAAATAAATCATCATTTCTGAATATCTCAAAGCAGTCGCCCCTATCAATAAGCTTAAAAATAAAACAGACCGACATAAGTTGCCAATTTAAGATGTCTGTGGCAGCTGTTGCTTTTACTTGGAAATTAAATAGCAGATTTGTGTGCAAGAGGAAAATCCTATCAAAAAGACAGCTTATGTTTTGGTCACACATTAACGTCCCAATCGGTATATTTCGGTTTTATCAATCCTGTTTCTGTATACATTTGTCTTTTATAAAATATTTTTTTATTCATACAATCATTTTTAACTATAGCAACATTACTATTCACTTTTAAGTGGCAAGATGTCAGACAGATCACCTCATAAGAACAATAGTATATAAACGAATGCAAAAAAAACAAAAAAAATCATTAGAGTATGTTTCTCTTCATAACAGTTCAAATTTTCTGTACAACTGTCTAATATGAATATTGCTGGTCCTGATCTGGTGGCATCAGTGCAGTGCTGGAGTAAGAGACAGCAGCAGCAGCAGCGGTGGTGGTTGTTTCTGGGGGGCTCCAGTCTGGCACTGGCCTCTCCGGGTGGTCCTGGAGGAGGGGTGTGCTCGTGGCAGGAGCTGACTGACAGCACTACTCTCATCATGGCGGACCGTTCACTGCTGCCTCGGGGTTGGCCATGCGCTGCTCTGATCTGGTTGGGAAAAGGAGAGGGGCTTGATGTCAGGGGTGGAAGCAACACTAAACTAGAGGAAATGGGAAAAAGTGGAGGGCACAGAACTCACTTGGCTTCGTCCATAGAGGCCGCATCCTCAAGAGGACCATTTAGAGCTTTGCAAGTGGCTTTTGCTTTCTCTTCTAAGTGCTTTAGACTGAAGGAAAAAAAATGACAATGTTGGTTAAATGACAGTTAAATAAAAATAAAAAATGTAATTTTGCGGAGAAAATAATTTCCCTATACACAAAAGAAATGGAAACATTTTAAAATGACAACGGTGATACATTTTCTATATTTAGATCATATCCGTATGACATCTGAAATTAATGTATTATACACACAAAATATGTAATACATAATTTAAATATTTAAACCATGAATATATTCATTCATCAACAAGACAGCCAGCAGATTCAGGAAACAACACAAGAGGGAGCTAGTACTAGGGCCCTATGAAATCTGTTTTATTTTTTCCCAAAATTCTATTTAATTTTTTTCCAAATTGCATTTTTTCGGTTTTAATTTTTCTGGATTCCGTTTTTTCCCCATTTAATTTTTTTTGTAGGTTTTAATGGTTCAACTAAAAAATATTAAACAAAAACATGATTAATTGAAATTATGAAACTCAGACCATTGAACTTTAACAAAATTACATTAAGGCCCTATGAATAATTTTCTCAAAAGAAACTGTAAAAATCTCCTGAAGTGACTCTCAGAGCAGATCTGTAGATTGTTACGCGCGCTTCAGTATGTGTGTAGTAAACGAAACTGCACATCTGCGCCACTCATTCACACAGACACACGCAGAACATGCAGGATTCATATTTAAATAGTATTTTTGCGGCTTAATATTCAAACACTTTTGATTTATCCATCCAAAATTTGACTGGATTCCACAATTCCACCCGCGTTTTTTGCACTGCGGAAATCATAGGGCCCTATAGTACTTATGGCAATAACCTCAAAATCCCAAACATCTCCTGAGATATAATTTAGAAAAAACTATTTTGATAATTTTGCTTCTGTATATTAATTAATAATCAAATTAATTATATTATTTCAATTAACGAAAAATGTTAATCAAAATCAATTTTAGTTCACAATAACAACTCTGGTCCCTAGACTCTACTAAAAGCAAATGATTCATTTTATTAATACTTTCTTGACTTCACAAATAAAGACTCTTACCCTGGTTGCTGACTGTTGCTAGGAGGACAATTGCTTTTCTCCACTTCCCCACTCTCTGCAAACAATTTTGCAGATGCATCTTCAGAGGTAGATCGTTTCGCTTCCTCGCTACAGGACGATCAGAGAGGACAGCGTTTTAAAGAGCTTTCATTGCCACTCTTTTGAAGCATAAAACCCCCTTTTTAAATCCCTGGATAAACATGCAGAATGGAATGGACCACATTAAAAGCAACGGGGCAAAACGAAAATGTTCTGAAATGGGGTTTGGCAGACAAATAAGATGTGAGCATGACGTACAGAGACGGGAAGTGATTATGAACCACACAACAGCTGGTTTAGACGATGAACTTGTTTAGTATGCGAGTGTGAAATGGTGGTGTAAAATCAAAGCTAGCAATTTTACAAAGTGATCGCATGCCAGCCAACCTTACCTTTAGGGTGGCATCAGCACAAACAGTCATTTAATTAATTATAACCTCCTCTAAAGTCTCATGCCAGGAAGATCATGGCGGATTTCTGGACTAGGGAAGGTCTACAGAGATACATCCTCCTTTATCAGACTGATTTACACAAATTAAAGTTCAAGCACGGCCCGAATTTTAAAGGGCTAGCTCGTACTCATAAATTTAGCCCTGCGAAAGAGCCATGGGGCCAAACCACAGCCGAGGATGAGAAGGGAATCCATAAATCTTCACCTGCGGTGTTGGAAAGACTGGGAAACATATGGGCTTGAAACTTTTGCGATCAGAATGAACTACATCAAAGGATGCATGGGGCATTTCATGCCATTAACAACCAGTACATCTGATATTAACATGCAAATGGTGATGGATACATTACTGTTTAAAAGAAAAAACAAACAAACATACGAACGAAGAAACAAAACATGGTTACAAATCAAAACGCAGTGGCCGACATGGGAAAAACCAAACAAAACAAGACACGCCCCCTGATTGGCTGTACATACCGATACGATTTCAACACTCTGAAGCCACACGCACGCCAAAGAGAGAGAGGAAGCTCAAGTTGTAATAGTTGCAGTTCAAGAAGGACAGATTGTTCTTTTTTTGCGTTCTCAAACAGACAAAAGAGATGTTACAAAGCTCTGCATCTTAACAGCCCCCCGTTTAAAAGAGACACGGTGGGCGGTCCAGGGCTTGGCTAGCTCTAGGTGCAGGAGGAGGAGGAGGATACGTGACAAGGAAAGATCAGGTCTAGAGTGGCAGAGTGAAGTGAAGCTTGTGTCTCAAAGGGAGAGAAGAGGAAGTGATGCGAGGCACTGTGTGTGAAACCTGCAGGACTCACCTCTTGAAAACAGCAGTTTCAGTTTTGGCGTCTACAGTTAGGCTGACCGTCTCCTTCATAGAGCCGTTGGTGACCGTTTCTGTGATGCGGTCACTGGCAGGCTCTTCCTCGGGGTTCAAGCCATCCCCTACATTCCCTCTAGGGGAAGTCGGGGTGGTCTCATTGGGAAGCCACTCCTCTGTGTCTAAACAACATGATTGTTTTATTCTAAGCACTGCGTGTTGACAAATAGACAGAAGGAATAGTAAGAGGGTCTACACAAATTAAAGTTCAAGCACGGCCCGGATTTTAAAGGGCTAGCTCGTACTCATAAATTTAGCCCTGCGAAAGAGCCATGGGGGCAAACCACAGCCGAGGATGAGAAGGGAATCCATAAATCTTCACCTGCGGTGTTGGAAAGACTGGGAAACATATGGGCTTGAAACTTTTGCGATCAGAATGAACTACATCAAAGGATGCATGGGGCATTTCATGCCATTAACAACCAGTACATCTGATATTAACATGCAAATGGTGATGGATACATTACTGTTTAAAAGAAAAAACAAACAAACATACGAACGAAGAAACAAAACATGGTTACAAATCAAAACGCAGTGGCCGACATGGGAAAAACCAAACAAAACAAGACACGCCCCCTGATTGGCTGTACATACCGATACGATTTCAACACTCTGAAGCCACACGCACGCCAAAGAGAGAGAGGAAGCTCAAGTTGTAATAGTTGCAGTTCAAGAAGGACAGATTGTTCTTTTTTTGCGTTCTCAAACAGACAAAAGAGATGTTACAAAGCTCTGCATCTTAACAGCCCCCCGTTTAAAAGAGACACGGTGGGCGGTCCAGGGCTTGGCTAGCTCTAGGTGCAGGAGGAGGAGGAGGATACGTGACAAGGAAAGATCAGGTCTAGAGTGGCAGAGTGAAGTGAAGCTTGTGTCTCAAAGGGAGAGAAGAGGAAGTGATGCGAGGCACTGTGTGTGAAACCTGCAGGACTCACCTCTTGAAAACAGCAGTTTCAGTTTTGGCGTCTACAGTTAGGCTGACCGTCTCCTTCATAGAGCCGTTGGTGACCGTTTCTGTGATGCGGTCACTGACAGGCTCTTCCTTGGGGTCCGAGACGTCTCCAACCTTTCCTCTTGGGGAAGTCGGCGTGGTCTCATTGGGAAGCCACTGATCTGTGTCTAAACAATTAGATCGTTCTATTCTAACCACTGTGTGTTGACACATGAGGACAAGAGGAATGGTAAAAGAGTCTATTCTTACTTTCTTGCTGCATGGGCGCGTTGACTCCCAGAGGGTCCACCGTTTCTATGCTGGTCTCCATGGCTACCGGGGAATTGCTCCTCAAAGGATCCTTGGGGCTAAATAAAGGAGAAAAATTAACATCTAATGAATTTTCCACATTTACATGTTCAGTGCTGCATTTTGTACATCAGTAGTGCAGGTTGCTGGCCCTTTCTATAATCAATAAACATGCATGACTTAATGTATATATTAAAGGGCACCTATTATGCAAAATCCACTTTTACATGGTGTTTGGACATAAATGTGTGTTGGCAGTGTGTGAACACAACCACCCTACAATGATAAAAATCCACCCACTCCTCAATGTCTCGCAAGCAATCCCGATGCTCTGTGTTTGGTTGTAAGACTGAAAATAAGAGTCTTCCTTTTCTCCCAACATCGCTGACGCTGTGGATTACTTTCATTTTTCAAGGTAATGCGCTTCAAAATCTACCTAAATATGTGTATCACTCCAAGATTCAAGATTCAAGATTTTTATTTGTCAGATTCTCCAGACTCCTTTGTGAATGTCATGTCTTTATAGTGCTTAGCGTTTTAACTGTATCTGTGTGCGTACATTAAGTATTTTTAACTGATTAGCGCTGCGCTTGTGAGATTAGTTTGCGCCGTTTGTAGAGCAAGATTCATTCGGTAGCGCTACTCGGTCCATTAATCCGCACCGATGACAGGTCAACGCGGCGCGAGCTCTGTAACATTGTGCTGTTTCATTCCACTTTCAGTGCCTTTGGCTTCCTCTCGCTGTGTTATGTTGCTTCTACTGGCTGTTTATTGCTGTAGATATGCAATGCAGAGAGACGTATACGCGATGCCCTCTTCTGGAGACAGGGCGGGAATATGTAGCTCATTTGCATTTAAAGCGATACACTCCGAAACACCTCTTTTTTAGACACCCCAAAAATGACATTTTCCAGCTGTTATAATAAATGATCTGTGGGGTATTTTGGGCTGAAACTTCACAGAAACATTCTGGGGACACCCAAGACCAATATTACATCTTGTAAGAAGGGGCATAATAGGTGCCCTTTACTGTCATTTTTCTGAATCCCCAAATTAATGTCGAAATGATATAAAAGGCGGCATATTTTAAAAATGTGTTACTTTTTTACTAAGTACTATGAATGAAGGCAAGTATCGCCGAAACCAATACTGATAACAAATCTATTAAACTGATTTTTCTTTTAAATGAGAAAATATAGCTAGTTAACATTACAGTAAAATTTGTGCCATTATTTTTAACATTTAATAGGCCTAAAAAAAATTGAAATGAAAACAAACCCATTATAATAAACATCACATTTAGCTGTCCCTTTTATAGTTAATGTTCATTTTTTTTAAGTTTTGACAGCCCCAATATGTATTTGTGGGAAAAAAAACGACAATAGCTATATATTTAATTACATATTTTGTTGAGAAAAAAAAAAAAACTTGTGTGTCAGTGTAATCAGTGTACTTTAAACATGCATTCCATACCTGACGGGTGTGAAGCTGGAGAAGTCA